TTTCTTTTCTTTTCTTTTCTTTTCTTTCCTTTTTTCTTTTCTTTTTTTAAAATTTTCTCCCTTGTCTCTTCTTCTTTTATTTTTTTTTTCGGCCAAAATTAAGGCTCTGGTGAATGTGTTTTCTCTTGGCAGCGTGACCTGCCTTTGGAGTCGAGCAACGTGTGTTTCTCCCTATTCTTTGCAAAATTTATGTGAGAAAGGCAAATCTGGTGTACAGTGGCAGAGCTCGGTGGAGAAGTGTCCAGATAAGGCAGGGTTGGTTTGTCGGTTGGATTTTTTTTTTTTTTGGTCCAGTTTCTCCGAGGCTAAATAAATCTTTCTCCTCTTTGAGAATGGATGGGGTTGTAATTTTTAGCGTAAAGCATGAAAACTGGGGACAAATGAGCCCTCTTCTCTGAAGTGACAAGCGACAATGGAGCATATACAGCCTCCTGCGGTTCGCCATGCTGAAACAAGCGTGCCCCTCCGCAGCAGAGAGAAGGAGAGCGCTTGGAGACCATATGGTTTTTGAATTTTCTTCACAATTTCCAGACAATTTGATGGATTAGGTTAACCCTCCCTTCCACTGTTTAACTCCACAACAATGGGAGCAGAGCTGTTCTCCCTTCGTCGGGGCATCTGTGCTCTTCTATTCTTCTCTCTTTCTCTCTTGGTATTTGGAACAAGCCTATGAATTACAATGAAATTCACTTTTCTTTAGTATTATTTGGAAGAGCACTTGTTTTCCGCCACCTCCCACCCCCACTCCGACATCCCGTCTTTTTTCTTTTTCTTTTTTTTTTTTACCTCCGAATGATAGCTTTGACTTCTGTCCAGATCTCTCGGAAAGCCTTCAATCTTGTCCTTAAGTGTTTTTATGCTAAACAGCCAAATCGTAAATGCTGAGAAACTGTGACATTTATGTGAAGATCTAGTTAAAGGGCTTTATTTGTTTTCTTTATCTGTTTTTTTTTCCCCATTCCCTCTCCTGTTCCCCCTCCTCTCCTGTCCCCTCCCTCCCCCCAGTCTTTTATTCTTTTGTCTTGGAATGGATTTAATGAGGCTGCAAACACTACAATTCAATATAAGCAAGAAATAAAAAAAAAAAAAAGGGTGGCTGGGTGTATGGAAAATAGACTGGGAGTTAATTTGGGTTTCTGATCTATTGACTTCTGAGCGCAAAGAGAAAAGATGCAGGGCCGCCTTACACCCGCAGAAGTTTACCACACGTGGCTGGGGCGGGATAGTAAATAAAGCCTCCTCCTGAAGATTTGCAGCCTGTTAATTTGGCTCGCCCCCCATTTCAAAATAGCTGGGATTTTGGTTATTTAATCTGCATATTGACAAACCAAAGCTTTTTTCTTTTTTTTTTTTTTTCTATCTTAAAATGAATCACCGGCTTGTACCCCTCGTTTTTTATCCAGTTTGGAACGCGCCGTTCCCTGAGAGCACCTACCTGAGCAGACATATCGCTCGGGCTTTCCCTCTCCCTCGAATTTTAGATACAACACGGTTGTTTTTTTTTTTTTTTCTTCTTTAGTTTTATTTTTCTGGGGTTTTTTTGGGTTTTTGGTTTGGGTTTTTTTGGTTGGGTTTTTTTGTTGCTGTTGTTTTTGGGGGGTTTTTTTGGGGGGGAATGGTTTGGTTTTTTGTTGTTGTTGGGGGGGGTGGTTTTTGGGGGTTTGATTGGGGGGGGGAGCGGGGGGAAACGGTTTGTTTGTTTATTTGGTTTTGCTGCGGTTTTTTTCCCCGCAGAAGCAGTAGGGACGCTGTGACAGCGCTGAATCGTGCCCTCTGGGCTGACCCAGCCGCAGCCCTTCCCGGCCAGTTCGTAGGGTTGCTGCCGTGATGGCGGCACAGAACCCCTCCTGCGCGACCCAGACCCCCAGATTACCCCAAATTCGGGATCTCCAGATCTGCCCCGCAGACCCGGCCGCCTCCGGCCGCTCCGCTCCCTGGCCAGCGCTGCCCCGGAGAAGTGGGGAGCTGGGCCGAGACCCTCGGGACTTACTGACTGGGGACACCCGGGGCAGCGGGCCTTCACCCTGCCCCCAGTATTTCCTGCATGGATTCACAGAGGGGTGCAAAACGGGCCCGTTTTCCCACCCCTGGGCAAACATTCAGAGCTCCCAGTCCGGTGCTCCGTGCTCTAGGGATCGGCTCACCGCGATTCCCTCTGTGGAAGGGTAGACATGGGGCAGGGGGAGTGACCGGCCTTCCCCAAATCATTCCCGACAGGAAAAAAAGCGCGTCAAACCGCTTAAATCCCACAGGTCCTGGCCCGCGGAGGTGAAAACTCCCAATTTGGCAAGAGGGTGCAGGGAAGCATGGAAGGGCTTTGCGGAGTGGTCTGGAGGCCAGGTGGTCCCCACCACCCACCCCGTCGGGGGCTGCGGTGTTCCGTGTCACCCCCGTCGGGGTGGGCGTGGGCGCTGGTCGCGGGCAGGTGCGGGCAGAGACTGCGCTCCTGCCGCGGGCATGGCGACTCCCGAGGGTCTCAGTCCAGCCCGCATCTCAGCCACCGCTGTTGCCTCCTGACAGAAACCCCATTTCTCAAACGTAGGAGCCGGACCACCCCTCCTCCCACCTCATACTCATCCTTCATCCCCAAACTTGACACTGCCTTAGATTTCGTTCTGAGGTGTGAAGGGAGAGGGAGGTGAGGGGGCGGTGGGGGGTGTTGTCTGCTTGGAAATGCCACCCTTTAGTGTTTGGGTGGGGAGGGGGTACGCTTTTTCTTTTTCCTGAGAGGGGTGGGGAAGATCTATATTTGATCTTGTTCACTTCACACAGGGTTCCCAGACGGAGAATAAAGCCCCCTCCTGAATTATCCAACAGGGCTGAAGCAGGTTGAGTCAGTGAAATTCAGTTCCTTATTTTATGAGGTGTCAGGGCTGATGTCGAATATGGCAACGATAACTAATACTACAGTCTGAGGGACCAGAACGTGGTAATTAATCCCAAAGACTTAAGTGTATTTTAGATCAGGAGAAAAAAAAATCACTAATTCAATCGTCCGGAAAATTGAAGTTTGATGCATGAGTCTCTGCTGAAAGGAAAGGCTTTTTCTTCCCGATTCTGGGGTTGGGGCAGGAATCGCAGCCTCTCTC